CCGCCTCAGCCTTCCAAGTAGCTGGAACTACAGGCACGTGCTACCACGCCCAGCTAATTTTTTTTTTTATTATTTATTGTAGAGATGAGGTCTCGCCAAGTTGCCCAGGTGGGTCTCAAACCCGTGGGCTCAGGCAATCCACTCACCTAGCCTCCCAGAACGCGGGATTACAGGCTGAGCCACTGAGCCCGGCCAGGAAACATCTTTAACAACAAAAACTTCCCTGTTGTATTTAACTAGGCTTTAAAACTTACGACTTGCCTATTCTCTGTAATGGAAGTAAGTGGAGCTCGCTTTAATAACCTCAAACCATGATTACAATTTCTTTTCTTTTTTTGAGTTGGAATCTATCTATCGCCCAAGCTGGAATGCAGTGGCATGCTCACGGCCACTCCAGCCTCGACCTACTGGGCTCTGGCGATCCTTCTACCTCAGCCTTCCAAGTAGTTGGACCTACTGGCACGCACCACCATGCCCAGCTAATTTTTGATTTATTGTAGAGATGAGGTCTCGCCACATTGCCCAGGCTGGTCTCGATCCCCTGGGGTCAGGCAATCCTCTCACCTCAGCCTCCCAAAGTGCTGGGATTATAGGCATGAGCCACCACGCCCAGCCACAATTTCTTATAAAAGAAATATGGAGACTTTCATGCAGTACCTGAGCTAGAGTCAGGAAATGAGGTGAAAGAGACAAGATGCTAAAGAGCATCATGTGCAGCCTGGCAAGGTGGCCCACACCTGTAATCCCAGCACTGCAGGAGGATGAGACAGAAGGATTGCTTGAGCCCAGGAATTCGAGACCAGCCCGGGCAACACAGAAAGACCTCTACAAATAATTTTTAAAATTGACTGGTCATGATGGTGTGTGCCTGTAGTCCCAGCTACTTGGGAGGCTGAGGCAGAAGGCTCGCCTGAGCCCAAGAGGCGGAGGCTGTGGTAAGTGTGCCACTGCACTCCAGCCTGAGCAACAGAGTGAAACCTTGACTCAGAGAGAGAGACAAAAAAAGGGTGTCCATGAAAACAGGTACAATAAAAATATTACCTAAGTGTACAGACCATGGTATCAAAAATACTTCCTTCCCCAAGTATTATCCTGGTAACAAATCTGTAAAATCATGGAGTTGGAGTGGGGAGCGGCAACTTCCCCATGGTCACGCAGCTACCACCCTGCAGGACAGCAAACAGCACTTGAAGTTTCTGAGGCCAAACCCAGTGCTCTTCACATATCCCATCTCACCTCCCAGGAGGTACCATGCAGATCTGGTGGGAATGGGTGCTTCTGTCCTTATTCCTCTGTGCATTCTTCAGTTAGAGGTTGGATTTTCATGCCCTTCACTTTGCCAGTGTCCTGTGCTTAAGCATAGGAAACTGCTGACCCTCAAATAAGCCGGCAGGGTTTGTTAAGCACCCGCATCTGTACTAGGAAGGGTGGTAGAGCCAGGCTGAGAAGGGAGCAGACTCGGGCCAGCCTGGGGGGTTGAGGTCCTCGCTGCATGGCTGACCAGCCATGGGAGCTTGAGCTGTCACCTAACTTCCAGCCAATGAACAAAGAGCACTAAGTTCAGTGCCAAGGGAATGATAAAAGTTCAGTAACTGATGAAGACTTTCATTATTACTGAGTTTTCCTCTGCCTTCTTTGGGGCCACGTCATAAAAAGAAAACTACCATGCTGGGCTCAGTGGCTCAGCCTGTAATCCCAGCACTTTGGGAGGCTGAGGTGAGTAGATTGCCTGAGCCTGCGGGTTTGAGACCAGTCCGGGCAACTTGGTGAGACCTCAAAAAAAAATTAGCCAGGCGTGGTAGCTAAGGCTACGGTGGCCAAGTGTACCACTGCACTCCAGCCTGGGTGACATAGTGAGACTCCATCTCAAAAAAGAAAAAGAAGCCAGGCTCGGTGGCTCAGCCTGTAATCCCGCGCCTTTGGGAGGCTGAGGTGAGTGAATTGCCTGAGCCCGCAGGTTTGAGACCCGCCTGGGCAGTGAGACCTCATCTCTACAATAAATAAAAAAACCAGCCGGGCATGGTGGCACATGCCTATAATTCCGGCTACTCGGAAGGCTGAGGTGGAAGGATCGCCGGAGCCCAGCAGGCAGAGGCTGTGGTGGCCAGGAGCGGCCACTGCACTCCAGTCTGGGCGACAGAGTGAGACTCCAACTCAAAAAAAAAAAGAAAAAGAAAAAAGAAAACTACCAATAAGAAGTGAAGTCAAGAAAAAAAAGTCAGACACATAAACACAGTGAATGCCTTGTCCCGTGTGTGCTCATGGGTTTAGCTAATGAGTCTACCTGGTTATACACAGAGCTACCTGCTGGAATAATCAATCCCACCCATTAAGCCAAACTTACAATTGAAAAAAAATTCCATAAATGCTACTCATCCTCCTAGCCTTTTCCCATATGGGACTGATAAGCACCAGCATATCTTGTAGAAGTTACTGTTCTTCAACACTGGGGCAGGTGGGCCAAAAGTCAAAATCAGGGCTGCAAGTCCTAATTTTTCCTCCAAGCTAGTGAGGGAGGGGAAAAAAAAAAGTCTGCTACCAAGGGCTCCCCCTGCAGGTACCAAAAAGCAAAAGCTAAAAATTAAGTAGGTGTCATTTATGCCCAGCAGAGAATTGTTTCCCTTTTTTTTGAAAAAGTTTCTAAAGCAGTCCTGAACCGTAACTTTACTTGTGACATAATCCCTTTTCCAGAACTCTGATCAAAGAGTCTAACAGCCTAAGGAACCAAGAATCAAGCAACCTCTTCCTTTTGATACACCACCTCCAAGTAAAAAGGGCCTCCCAAATGTGATTCTCATGCAAACAGAACACAAAAGTACTCCTCAGCGGCAACACTGTATTTGGTAGTCATAATTACAGCATTTCCGAGTTATCTTCTTGTTGCTCATTTCCATCTCATTCTTAGGATTAGCATTTGTGTTTGCAGGTGTACGGGCACATAAACACCGATGTACAATGTACCTACGTACACCAAAAGAACCTTGATTCAAGACATAAAATCAGTGACAATTTTTAAACCACTTAATGGAAGATTTGAGCAAACTTTTGTCTTTGATATCTTTTGTCAAGTATATTTAATTCTCTGTGTTTGTGGAATAAGCTTGGATAGAAGAAGCAAACAGTAGAGAATGAAAATAAATCATCTTACAAAAAAAGAAAAAGTTTCCAAGATAAAAAGGAACAGCTTGTTCCAAAGTTGTGCTTCAAACTATTTCTAAGAGATGGAGGTTCACAATCTCAAGACCACAAAGGCCTCTTGAAATATGTATCCAGAAATGCTCACATGGGGACCCAAGAAGGATTGGAGTGGGAAGGGGCTTGAGATCATGTTATATGAGAAACAGTTCATTGGCAGGATCCCCACAAAAAGTGGAGGGTCACAGATGGGGACGCCCTGCAGAAGAAACAGCTGAGGAAAGTAGGGGTGCTCAGCCTAGAGAAAGACCAAGGAGTGGTCTGATAGACTAGCTTGGGAGGGCAACAGCCTCCTCACTGTGTGGTTCCCTAGTTGGGGAGCTAACGGATGACAGGAGTTGATCTCAAATACAGGAAGAATATTTTAATAACAAGCACCAGGTAACCCCCTGGGGTCCCCTTCCACTGTGGGAGCTTTTCTGTCCTCTCAATAAATCCTGCTGTAAAAAATAAAATAACAAGCATCACCCATATAGAATGAACTGCATAGGTCAGGGGTGAAGACCTCACCTCAGAGGGTGCTCAGACAGGACCCGGGAGGCCAAACACTGGGAATATTAAAGAGACTCAGGAACTGGTAGAAAATTGAGCTAGATTATATCTAAGATCCTTTTCAGCTCTAAAATCCTGAGAATGTACACTAAAACACCAAACAATTTACAAGTACTCTTGTGAGAAGGCTGGTTGATTACTGTCTCCAGAGTCATTTACATATTAAACATTGACATTTTGTGCTTCAAGCCCTGATACAGCTTCAAAATAACATTTCATGAGAAAAGACATAGAAATCAAACTAAAGGGCAGACTGTACCAATGTCAACTTGCTACCTTTAACATTATACCATAGCTATGTAAGATGTAACCAGTCAAAGAAGTTGGGTGAAGGGTACATGGGACCACTACTATTTCTGCAACTTCCTGTGAGTCTATAATTATTTCAAAATAGAAAGCTTAAAGAGTCAAATTAGAGATGCTTTCCCAAGGAACTCCAAGTGACATCAAAGACAACTACCACAAACCAGTTTGGTGCAGGAGTACTGTGTCATCAGCCACAAAAGACTGCACAAGTATCCACAGGCAGTGTGGCTCATTTCAAAACCATGATCAATCAATTCTGAAGATTTACAGCTGTGATTAGGAAAGCCTGTGTCATGTTGACAGGTGTCTAATTTGGCTACGTTGATCGTAAATCCTGTTATCTGGGATTACATCACTGAAATCACCTATAGGCAATGCATTCCTACAAATGCTTCCTATTAGGTACTACACACTAACCATAGACAGACTTAACTGCCACATTCATCAAACTGCAATAACTTGCTTCTGTCTTACTTCTTCCACTAACCATGACTTGCAGCAAGAACTACATCTTGCTCATCTCATTTTGTCACCAAAACCTAACCTATAGTAGGTTCTCAATAAATAGTCACTGAGTGAGTAAACAAAAAAAACAGTAATTATTTTTTGAACTTTTGAGGGGTGATTTTGTTTTCTGATACAAAGACATCCAAAATCTCAGAATTGCTTTTTTAGAATAAGAATTCTATATATACACGTGTGTGTCACAAAGTCTCTGAAACACAGTAGATTAATCTCTAAAGATATCCACAATATCCACTAATTTGTTATGTGTTAGTTTCCTGAGATACAGTAATAGAGAGGTCAGGCTTTCCCAGACCGGAAAACCAATGTGAGCTGTTGAACAGATCCCCTCAACCTGAAAGTTTCTGCTAGGATGGTCTCAGACTAATTTTATTAGGTGCACCAAGAACAATCAGTTTCTTTCAGAAATCGTCAAGAAAGCATCAGCTTTGGATTCTTTAATATCAACAGGTCCAAAAGTATACAGTGTATTTTTTTATACTGTTCAGTTAAGTTTATTAAAATACATATTCTCAACAGCCCAAGTCAATCAAAGCAGTGGATCTCAAAGTGTTGCTTCTCGGCACATCATTAGCTTGTCCAGAAAATCCAAAAGCCACATTCAGAGGTCAGCGAGGCCACCTTGAAGACATGATGGAGGCTCCTCAAGACAACAAGGACTCCACAGAATCAGTTATCTGAGCAGGTTCAGATGCCAACTGGATCCTCAGAACCTCTGCAAAGCCATCACCAAACCAGCAAGTGACATGTGCTATGTCTACAGTGAAGTAGAAAAGGCGGTCCTGGCAGAGCTTCCGACGGTAAACAGACCGAGGATCTGCTGACAGCACAGCCTCGATGGCCCGCTTTGCTTCCTCTGCTGACTGAAAATATTTAAATGAGGAATGACCAACCTCTGCAATGAGAAGACCACAACTTAATGCTCAGTATTACACACGTCAAATTTCATCACAATGAATGAATGCCAATATGGATTTTGGTTGGTTCCTTAAACATCATTTGAAATCAAAAGTGTTTGGAAGTCTATTTGGTCATTATAGAGAAGGTTACCTTCAAGTGGTATTTACTGTCATTAGATTTAACTATGTAACCCCAAATTTTTGTTTTACTGAACAAAAACATCATGGTGGCATTTTCCCTTAGTTTCCTAACCAGGAGAGGTGAGCTTTCATTTTCTGTCAACCAAAATGTCACTTTTCTGTACTCAATGCAGTCTTGAATGCAATTCCTTGTCGTTTTGTTCTCAGAACACAGACAAGGAAATGCATGGCAGTCCCAGCATCCTCAAAAGCCACAAGATCTAAACCCACACATACCAGAACACTAGCTATAGGCAAGAGAGGCTGCACCAGAAGGCTGGTGTTATAAGTAACACTATGTCCCGAAGAAACAAGGACATGAGAGAGTGCCAGGACAAAAGTGAAACAGATATGCTGAGAAAGTTCTGTGTCACCACCAGGAACTGACCACTCTGCTCCACTCAAGTGCATATTTCAGGTAAACAGGTACTTACCCAGTCTGGTGGCAAAACTTCCTATATTTTTATCATTTTTAATGTATTTAATTTTTAAAAATACAGTATGTACAGAACAAATGGTTAAAAGTAACTGTGACCGAGTTTTTAATAATTGCAACATCGGATACATCCAAAGGATGCCCAGCTCCTTCCAGGAAGGTATACACTTAAAAATGTTGTCCCTGCTCAAAATATCTAGAGTGGTGGTGAATCTTTATCCTTCTTAGAGAGGATTTGATTTCAACAAACAGCCAAAATTACCCTAGGCCATATCTAACGATCAGGTTGGGTAAATGAAATCATGAAGTACAATTTTTGGTCAAAAATCAATTATATCGCATTAGGAGTTCTTTACTGCATGGCTCATAGGAAACAGCTCTAAAAGCCAATTTAAAAAGATTTATCACACTCCTCGGTGACAGTGTTTCTGGTACAGGCTCTAAGCCTTTGCTTGGCCAGTCACCACGTGTAAGTGCCCTACTCCCGATTCCTTGCATACTCATTCTTCTGGGCTCAGCTCACATGCTATTTCCTCCAGGAAGCCTTCCCACATTCCCTCCTCCAACCCAAGTCAGAATTCTCTGGCATGCCCACAACACACTGCCCAGACCTCTGCTCCATCACCAATTTCCTCCCATTTCAACACCTTTCACCTCTTTACATGTGCTAAGAACCATGTGTTAAAGTAAACCGGCTCCAAGTAAGAGCCCTGTGGCCTCTCTTCTGCAGGAAAGTGCATGACTCTAGTGCTGGGGCTTTGTGGGGGAACTTCTGTGCTAAGACACCTCCCTCTTACTCTGGGCTCCTAGAGGTCTCTGTGCCAGAAGCTAAGTTATCAGTTACCTGTCAGGATAAAATGCAACATTTCTCTAGTCCAATAGTAAAAGAGATGAGAAAACTTAAAAGGCTATGCTTTCTTTAAGCCTCTGGCCCCTCTCTAATCTTAAAGAGGTGGATCCACCCTCTGATCTCTGATCTACTTTCTAAATAAACTTTCCTTTCTAATCTTAAAAAAAGAATAGAATAGGCTGGGTGTGGTGGCTCATGCCTGTAATCCCAGCACTTGAAGAGGCCAAGTCAAGAGGATTGCTTGAGTCTAAGAGTTCGAGTCCAGCCTGCACAACATAGCGAGACCTCGTCTCTAGAAAAAAATCCAAAAGTCAGCCAGGCGTAGTGGCACATGCCTATAGTCCCAGCTACTCAGGAGGCTGAGGAGGATCGCCTGAGCCCAGGAGGGCAGGGCTACAGTGAGTTGCGATCATACCACTGCATTACAGTCTGGGTGAAGACTGAGTACAGAGAGACCCCAACTCAAAAAAACAAACAAACAAACAAAAAAACAAAACAGAACAAGCACAAGTTAGTTTCTGAATGCTGTCAGTAGACTCCAAGAACTATTGAACCAGGTAGACACAGGCTACCGTACAAGTACATCATAGGTCACCTCGTGAAGCTAACTGTGCTAATACACAGTTATCGAATGAAAGTTGTCATATGATGGTGTTGCCCAAATATCATTTTATATTCCTATGTTTCTTAAAACCAATCACACTGACACATATTCCACATAATGCTCTCAGAAATACCAAGCTTAGCTAAATCTCATAGTAAAAGCTCATCTCATTCAGAACTGAGAAACCCAAGGTACCCGATTTACCTGCTGAACTGAGCTGTACAAGGTCCATTTCAGCATGAGGAGTAAATCGCACTTCTAAAGTGGCCACGGGGGCCTCTCTCACCCAGGCAGGAACCAGGCTGCAGGGGGATCCATCAGCCACCCTGGCAGGGCAGTAGCGAGCTGCAGGCCGCACCTCTGTACTGCTTCCTGGTAGAACTGCTGCTCCTTCCACGCTCCTTAGCTTCTTATCTGTACCTCCCTCTGAAAAGCTCTTCTCCAGGCAATGTGGGCCAGCTTGTTTTTCTGCCACACTCAGTCTCTGATCACTTCTTGATTCCAAACCAAAATCTGCTGCTACCTCCCTGTGCATAGGCAAGATCCGCTGGAGTTCTGCTCTGTCTCTGTGTTTCAGGCAGTTTTCTTCTGAAGTTCTGCCTTCAGGATATTTAGGCTTCCCCTTAGTGCTGTGGTAGGGTTCTGGCTCACCGCACCCTGGGCACTGTCGCTGGTAACAGCTATTGGTCTCGCCATCAGAATGGAACGTGGCTTTTGGTTTCTGCTGGTTATTCTGTAAATTAAAGTCCCCTAAAGGCTCCATCAAATTTTGTGGTGAGTCATAATCAGCTATGTAGGGTTTAATGTCTAGTACGGGTGTGCCATGTATCATATCAATTCCAGAAAGGTATATAGCTCCACCTATGATATAAAAACAATGAAGGATAGTGCAAACTGGAGAATACAGTTATACCCCCAAATCATCTCTGCAACACTATCTGTTTATGTCCCATCGAGCTTACTCATGATTCTCTTCATACACCTGGTGCCAACTACACTTTTCTTTCTACCTGGAAACCCATCCACTTCTTGACCCATCAAACTCCTACTTGCTCTTCAAGGTCCTCATAGGACACATCTACAAAGGGCTCTTCCAGACATAGGTATTCTTTCCTGTCCCCAAAGAAAAGTCTGTGCACAAACCTCTGCTGGAGCCCTTGCCCATAATCAGGCACCTGCTCAGAGTTTCCTTCCCTAGACAGCAGGCAGATGCCTTGAGCATGGGCTAGGGTCAACATCTTTGTATCAGTGGTGCTTCTAACTCTGTTCCAGGCACATAAAGTCCTCATTATATCTCTGTGGAACCAGTGAGGGTTTCTACGGTGACAAGAATAGTTCCCAAGCCCCCTACGCTCCTGATATTCACGCTCTTGAATAATCCCTCCACTTGAGTGTGACTTGCTTATAGCCAAGAGAATATAACCAAAGAAATGTGATATCCCTCCAGTGATTATGTTTTTATATAAGATTCCTGCTTGCTGGTGGACTCACTCAAGCGACCTTCCATGCAGGCTTGACAAAGTAGGCAGGCATATTGGAAAGCCCATGTAGCAAGGCACTACAAGTGGTCTCTAGAAGCTGAAGGTGACCTCTAGCCAAAAATCAGCAAGAAGCTGGGGCCTTCAGTTCCACAACAACAAAGAAATGAATTTGCCCAACATCCTGAGGTTGTCCCACTTGGACAGCGGCTACCGGTACAGGATCTACTAACATGACCCTTGGGAAAGTGGTCTAACAAGAACCAAAAAACTGCATGCAGTCACATTGGATTCCATCTCCATTTAAGAAAAACATGACTAACACAGGACCTTGATTTCTAAAATATGCTTACTGTGAATGAGCCTGGAACTTGGGAAAGATGATTCTGGGTTTTCCAAATGATGTATTATCCCTAACAAAGTCTGCAGGAGAAAGAAAGGCACTGTAGCATAGGTAAAAGTTCTTTGGATTTAGAGTCAAACATGTGGCTGGATGCTATTAGACAAATTAACCTTAAAAAGTCTCAGTTTCTTCATCCATGAACTGGGCATTGCTACCCTATCAAACCCACAAAGCCACTGTGAGATAATATACAGTAATGCACTCACTAACTATAAAGCACCATTCAAACACTAGTAGTTGCCATAAAGCTTACATAGAATGTGTACAGTGCAACTATTAATATGTTTGCCTTTTAACCTTTCTGATCTGGCCTCCCCCACTGGAACATTAAGTCCTTTAGGGCAGGGATTTTTATCTGATTTGTTTACCACTATATCTCTAGCACCTAGAACAATGCCTGGCATGTATTCAGTACTAGAAAATATGTGTGGGTTGCATGAATGATCATAAAATGCTCCAATACTTTTACCCAAGCTGGTTAGCAATTACAAATTGATAAAACTCAAGGTGGGTCAACTATTGAACTTTTGTGGAAAATTACCTAAGGCCCACTTGAGTTCAGTCTAGTAAGGAAGTCCAAGTTCTGGGAAAGTACAAGCAAAATAACCATTTTCTTTTTTTGTTTGTTTTGAGTTGGAGTCTCACTCTGTCGCCCAGACTGGAGTGCAGTGGCACCACTGCAGCCTTGACCTGCTGAGCTCAGGTGATCCTTCTGCCTCACCCTTCCAAGTAGCTGGAACCACAGGCGCACACCACCACGCCTGGCTAATTCTTTATCTATTTATTGTAGAGATGAGGTCTTGCCATGTTGCTCAGGTTGGTCTCTAACCCCTGAGCTCAGGCAATCCTCTTGCCTCCACCTCCTAAAGTGCTGGGATTACAGGTATGAGCCACTGCTCCTGGCCCAAAAAACCATTTTCATCTATTTAGTGTCCAGTAGCCTGAAAAGTACTCTTAGAGCTTTATTCTTATGAGATCCTTAAAAAAAAAAAAAAAAGAATCCTTGGAATCACAGAGTGGGCAGGTCCTTCTCCTCTGCCCACTTTACAAACAAGTCAAAGCCTAGAATGGTCTTCCAACTCCTAGTCTACCCACTGCATCATCTTCTGCCTCTCTAACACATGTACTTACTGGGTCAGAATGGAATGCTGCCGGGCTAGGTGGCTCAGCCCGCTGAGGCTGAGGTGAGTGGATTGCCTGAGCCCGCGGGTTCGAGACCCGCCTGGGCAACTTGGTGAGACCTCATCTCTACAATAAATCAAAAACTCAGTCGGGCGTGGTAGCGAGTGCCTGTAATTCCGGTTACTCAGAAGGCTGGGGCGGAAGGATCACCTGAGCCCAGCAGGTCGAGGCTGCAGTGGCCGGGAGCGGCCACTGCACTCCAGTCTGGGTGACAGAGTGAGACTCCAACTCAAAAAAAAAAAATGGAATGCTTTTCAAAAATGTGTAGCAACATATTAACACAATCTGGAACTCTACACAAGTACTTCTATAACCAACGTTCAGTTCTGTAGTGTGACTCATCCCAGAATTCTGCCACATCCAACAGCTGACAGTTACACTGCAGCCATGATGTTTGTCCATTTCCTCAAGGCTGCAAGGAGGGAATGACAAATCACCACCCTATGTGTTTACCATATGTGCATGTACAACTAACTGCTGTATGTTAAATTTGAAAGAGTCCGATTTTTTTTTTTTCGAGTTAGGGGGTCTCACTCTGTTTCCAAGGCTAGAGTGCAGTAGCATGATCATGGCTCACTGTACCCTCAACCTCCTAGGCTCAAGGAGTCCTTCTGTCTCAGTCTTCTGAGTAGCTGGGACTATAGGTGCACACCATCATGCCTGGCTAATTTTTTTTATTTTTTTGTAGAGCCGAAGTCTTGCTAGATTGCCTAAGCTGATCTCAAATTCCTGGCCTCAAGCAATCCTTCTGTCTTGGTCTCCCAAAGTGCTTGGGTTTACAGGCATGAGCTACCATGCCTGGTTAACTTTTTTATTGTCTGTAGAGTCAAGATCTTGCTATGTTGCCTAGGTTGGTCTCAAATCTCCAGCCTCAAGCAATTCTCCCACTCTAGCCTCCTAATTGCTGGGATTACAGGCATGAGTTGCCATACACAGCCATTTTTTAATCATTTTGTATTCATTGAATTCCAAGCCAAAGAAAATTTTGTTACTAATTTAATGATTACGACATCTGAGTTATTTCAAAATAATGTAACAGCTTTTGATATATGCAATGATATAAATAAACTGAACATCCTATGAGAGTTTATTTCAAAGTGCTTTCATTGCTAACATTCTTTTAATCATTGCATTTTCTTCAGTGTCTGGTAGCTCTCAGGAGTCAACAGTGCTGGTACCTGTCTATATAACTGCCAGTAATAAACACTATGTTAATTTTATATGAATTTTGGAGAGTAAGAAAAAGAAAAGCAAAAGTAGAAATGCAATGGGTTACCTTCTACCTTTTCCAGCTTGGCCAGGGTCAGTCCTATAGCATTGGGACGATGAGGGCTCCTTGTGGAAAAAACTCCAGTCTTTGCACCATTCAGCCTAGGAGGTTGCACTTTTGCCTTACAGCTCAAATGGCCATTTTTGTGAAAAACAAACAAAATCCTATTGAAAATAAACCAAACCACTGAGTAAGAAAAGAGCATAAGCTTTGTAGGGGAAAAGGTACTCTCCCACAAATGAACAGAAAGAATGTTTTTAGTGGTGTTGAACTATTATTAGTAGGGAAGAAAATAACACCATTCCCCTTCCTTGAAGGAAGACACTCTTATCTCCACATTCATTCACACCTAACATAATGACTGGCACACAGCAGAAGTTTAGCAAACATTCGACAAATGCCTGAATAAACCTTATTTACTAAGTGTCTGCTATTTACCAGGCAGTATGCTAGATATTTTTATATTCATTTCATGTAATCTTCTTAATAGTATAATTTATCCTCCATTTTAGGGATGAGAAAATTAAAGCTTAGAAATGTTTAATAACTTAACCATGCCTTCCTAAACAAGATACAAAACCAAGAAGCCATGAAGAAAAACAATAACAAATTTTAATTCATTAAATCATTACATTGATGTACTACAAAACGTTAGCCTAAGCAAAGAACATGAATAGGCAATTCACAGAAAAAATTACAAATAGCTAACAACTATATGAAAAGATGTTGAGCCTCACCGACTTTTAAAAATTGAACTAAAAATCAAAATACCATTTTCCTCCAAGAGACAAAAATGTAAAACACTGATAATGTGTTGGGGAGAACGCAGGAAAAAGGTGATTTGCATACACTATTGAAGTTGCTTAATTTTTGACGGTAATTTGGAAGTAATTTTCCAAAATTACAAATATGCATACCCTCTACTATATCAAAATCTGATATCCTATCTATAAAAATACACAAGTGGCCAAGAATATGTACCCAAGGGGATTTGTGACAAACTTATCATAACAGCAAAATAGTTCTCCGTTAACAAGAACATGTATGATACGTTTATATTTTCTAATAATAGACAGCTATTGAAGCAAAAAAGGTAAATCTATATGTGCTGACATGAAGGTTCTCTCTGATATATACTGTTAAGTAAAGAAACATTTGGTTTTGCTTAAACAAATACCCACTCTGTATGTATAAAGTTGTTTCTAGTGTATTAAAAAAGAAAACATGAAAAGGTCTGGCAGGATCTATGCCAAGCATTTACAGTGATCACTTCTGAGGAGCGGTTAGGGTTGGAGGCAAGAAAGGAGAAAAATAGGAGGGATAAGGGAAAAATCTCTTTATATACTTCTGAAACCATTTTTTACATAGTCAATATTTAAATTTAACTCAATCAAGACACAGACTAGGTCAGAACATCCAACTTCTTTTTTACCCATGTCCCCAAATTAACATGAAAAATAAACTATTTAATTATAAACAATTTTAGGTCTCCACCTATTTAGGCTGCTGATGTTGGGGTGAGGAAGAATGTACAGAGAAAGAATTCCAAATGACAGTGAGTAAACTAGCATAACACAGGCCTTAATATAGGTAACACTTTAAAGTATCCAGATTTCTAAGGTCTCTTATCTTTTTTAGGAAGAGATTTAATTCTGCATGGGTCTAAAGCAAGGTCTGCAAACTTTTTCTGTAAAGGATCAGAGAGAAAATATTTTAGATGTGCAGGCCAACCAGTCACTGCTGCAACTATTCAACTCTGCCACTGCAGCACAAAAGCAGTCAGAGACAATACATAAACAAATGGACATGGCTGGGTTCCTATAAAACTAGCCTACAAAAACAGGCAGTGGGTCACATCTGATCCACAGGCTGCAGTTTACTGACCCCTGGTCTAGAGAATAAAGACCCATGGGCAGAATTAAGGAGGTATATAGTTTCAGCTTAACAGAGGCTGCTAACCACAATTAGAACCAACTGCAAATGGAATGTGCTCCCTCAGTGGATCCCAAACTTCCCTGAGATACCTAAATGATGCAGACAACACATGCAGGAACGCAGTATGGAAATTCCACACAAGAGATAAGGGTGGTCTGGATGGTAGACTCTAAGGTTGTTGCAACTGGAGTGCTTTACTCAGGGGCAAGTTCTGGCCCAAAGTGCCACTTCTAACTTTAAACCAACTTACCAAACATGAGAAAACTGCTCTAAGCCCATCAAGGAATGTTCAGGATTATTAAAGATGCTCTTTCTAATCCTCAAACAGGCCCGCGAATGGCTACAAATGGATGGCTGTCTTGGAGTACCATTCTTGGCCAAGAAACAGGATTCCAAGTAGCCTATAGGCTCAGTTAAAAGATTCCCTACAGGACAAAATTGGAGAAGAAACCATTAGTCCAAAGGTCAAACCAAGCTGTAAGAAAACATGTTTTCTCTAATGCACTGGATCATAGTTTAAAAATGTACTAGGTGTTATGCAACCATAAAAAATTATTTTTATAGTATTCAGAAATACATACAAATATCCTCATCATTATATATACATCATACTATCTGTTTAGATACACTAGAAAGAACACTTTAGTATCATTACATGCATAATATATATTGCTTCAGATACACTAGGAGTCTAAGAAAGAAATAATGAAAGGGGCATTTTTAGAAGAACTACTATGACCGTAATTCAAATTCTATGCTACCATTACTAAGTTATGTGACTTTTTGGTCGGTTTAAAGGGTATTTCAAATAGAGGAGACAGTAAGCATAAAAATAAATGAGACATGTCATAGCATATGTAGTGAACAAGCTATTTTTGATTGGCTGGAGTGTGAAATACAAGGCAGAGAATAATGAAAGATGAGGAGACAGTGATTACATAGAAGCAAAGATGCCTTCAATTGAAAGCAACGGAACATATGAAACAAAGTAGTTTAAGCAATGAAGGGAGTTCACAGGCTCATACTGCTGAAATATCGAGTGGCAGGGTAGATTTCAAGTTAGGCTCAGTACAGTAGCCCGCTGCCCCTCTAGAATGTAAGCTCCATGTAGGCAGTTGCTTTTTGGTCTTGTTTACTGCTGTGTTCCCATTGTCTAGTGCATTGCTTGTAAGGGGGTAGGTACTCAAAAAATTCATGTTGTATGGAAAAAAAGATAAGTCTAAACTGATTAAAATGGAAAATGAAAAGGAACAATATGTATAACATAATCCCATTTATGAAAATCTGCTTATATATTTATCTATTTCAATATGTACAAGGCGGGGTGCAGTGGTTCATGCCTGTAGCCTGTAATCCCAGCACTTTGGGAGGCCGAGGCAAGAGGATTGCCTGAGCCAAGGGGTTCAAGACCAGCCTGGACAGCTTAGTGACACCTTGTCTTCACAATAAATCAAATTAACTGGGTGTGGTGGCGCACACCCGTGGTTCCAGCTACTTGGAAGGCTGGGGTGGAAGGATTCTCTGAGCCCAGGAGGGGGAGAGTGCAGTGGCCATGAGCATGCCACTGTACTCCAGCCTGGGCGACAAGTGAGACTCTGACTCAAAAATAAATAAATAAATAAATACATATATTTGAGAAGGAACCCCCCAAAAACTGGAATTTATTTTTTAAACTGTATATTTATTCTTACATGTTAAATTTCAGCCACCTTCAAAGTGCAATATACCTATCAAGATACTTTTTCCACTCCGCAAAACAGTTTTTGAACTCATCCATTTTGATGACTTTTAGTGCCCCTGCCATTTTTTGCTTCACCTCTTCCACATCAGCAAAATGTTTCCCTTTGAGACTTTTTTTCATCCAGGATAAAAAAAAAGTTGCTCAGGGCAAGATCAGGTTAATAGGGAGGGGGGGCCTGGGGTCATGCCAGGTCAAAAACTCCTGAACATTCAGCAGGTGTGAGCAGGTGTGTTGTCATGGTGGAAGAACCAGTCAACTGTTTGCTACAACTTGGGGCATTTCTTCCTTAAATCGTGACACAACCGTCTCAAAACTTCCAGATAAAAACTTCTGTTGACCATTTTATCTGGAGGAACAAGTTCCGAGTGTTCCTGCCCCCTAAAAGATAATTCTGGGTTTTTTTTTCTGTCCTCCTTGTATGTCTGGAAAACTATCTGGAAGGATATTCACCAAAATGTTAACAGTGGTTAACCTGTATGGTGAGTTTTTAAATTATCTTTATGTTTAATTTGTAATTTCTATAAAATTTGAAATTTTTGCAATAAACACAAATTATCTTTTAAAAATAATAACTTTTGAAAGACAAAATTAGCCAGACATATTAATATAAAGTCCACAGTCTTCATGACTACCATTTTGAATTTACAACTTTTTGTCCTCCCTTCATTAGAACTTTATTAACTTCTTTTAAGAGATGATATAGGCCGGGTTCGGTGGCTCAGCCTGTAGTCCCGCGCTTTGGGAGGCCAAGGTGAGTAGACTGCCTGAGCCTGCGGGTTCAGGACCCGCCTGGGCAACTTGGCGAGACCTCATCTCTACAATAAATCAAAAAAATTAGCCAGGCGTGGTAGCGCGTGCCTGTAGTTCCAGCTACTTGGAAGGATGAGGCAGAAGGATCGCTGGAGCCCAGGTGGTCGAGGCTGCGGTGGCTGGGACCAGCCACTGCACTCCAGTCTGGGCGACAGAGTGAGACTCCAACTCAAAAAAAAAAAAAAGAGATGATATAAAGATCTTCTTTTTATTTCCCATTTCCATTAAATCTACCCTACCAGGACAAGCAGTGAGACAATAGTTTTGGAGTTGTCTCTTATAGTAACCTTCATTACTTTCACATAAAAACAGTGGTATTTTGGTCAGCACAGTGGCTCATGTCTGTATTCCAGCATTTTGGGAGGCACAGGTGGGAGCAATATTTGAGCCCAGGAGTTCGATACTAGCCTGGGTAACATAAGGAGACCTTGTTTCTACAAAAAAATTCAAAACACCACTGGGCACAGTGGCTAATGCCTGTAACTCCAGCACTTTGGGAGGCCAAGGTGGAGGGACTGCTTGAGCTGAGGAATTCAAGACCAGACTGGCAATGTAGCAAAACTGTGTCTCTAAAAAAAGCAAAATTAAAATCAAGAAATTAGCCAGGCATGATGGCACATAACTGTAGTCCCAGCTACTTGGGAGACTAAGGTGGAAGAATCACCTGAGCCCAGGAGATCAAGGTTGCAGTGAGCTAGGATCACCACTGTGCTCGAGCCCGTGTACAGTGATATCCTCGACTAAAAAAAACCCCAATATTATCTAACACATATATAAAAGATTATATGCAACATATAAGTCATAAAGCATAATATTATAACAAAACCCTATGTACATACCATCTATCAAGAACTAGAGCTTTACCAACAATTTACATCTTTTTAGGTTGCTTTTCTCCTATCCCATATGCTTCCTTTTCCTTTGAAATAAACAGAAGCCTAAATTTAGTCTTTATCATTTTATTTTTTAATATGATTTATCACATGCATATGCATGCCTAAACAATGTTTCATTTATTTTGTCTTTAATATCTGTAAAAACTGGTGTCAAACTTTAAGTTTTCTTCTAAGACTTGTTTTTTCTCTTCCAATATTATTAGTCTAAGATCCATCTGTACTGTGTATGTTTTCGACAACCTTAAGTTTTTTCCAAGTATGTTTATGGGCATTAAAAAAAATCCTCGTCCATGCTTCTATGGAACAGATATAGTAAACATCTTAGGATAAGATGAAGAAACTGAGGCCAAATGATCTGGTGTTTTTAAATTGTCAAGAAAAATGGCCCAAAGAGGATTCCTAACCTAATCACAGGATCCCTGTGTCCTGTTTTCATTTATTCAAGAAACATTTTCCAAGTATCTACAATTGCCAGACATTGGGCTAAGTTTGGAGGAGGGGGGAAAGAACACTTACCATAGTGGAATTAACATTTGGGGAAAATTTTACACTGTTTTAATATCATGAGAAATGTCACAACAGCAGCCATATTATCAAAGACTTCTGCCCTTGACTCTCTGATGTGAGGCCTAAAAATTGATAACTGGTCTACCACTTCATTGAATCAGTCTACGCCTGCTTTTCACAGATTGATTATACATATGCCATGATAAATACAAGTAGCCACCAATTAGATTTACTCCAATATTCTTTGTGCATCTCTATAAGAGCATAAGCAAGATAAACTGGGTTAGCAATGAACTGAAAGCAAACTCAGGAACTACTTTGTAGGAGTTCTTCCAACTACGCTACTCAAATGTTTGGGACCACTCTCAAAACATTAAATATTCATCCTCTAATATGTCTGAACTCTTCTGGAACCTATTTATATATTTTCTGTGCACTCCTTCTTGGGATAAGTGCTATGAAGTATAAATCCTACCTGAAGCAGAACCCTGAGAATGTTTACCCAGGGAAATTCTGATTTTCTGATCTCTTGCCTCATATCTCAAAAAAAAAAACAAAAACAAAAACAAAAAAACTAACAAGGTGCTAAGTGCTTGGTGTACAAACAAGAACTAGTTCTCACCCCTAAGGGTTTCCAATACTGTATATTGACAGAGTTGAACAAGTAAATCAACAATTCTTGTAGATACCTTATATGCAGAGACAGAGACTAACAGAGGTACACAGTAATACTAGCCAAAGAACCACCTGGAAAGGGAGAGAAGTGGTTCTCCAAAGGAACATGGGAGATTTATTACTGGCATCAGAAGAGAAAAAGGATAAAAACAACAGAAGACCCTACTACACTACCTTGAGCAAAACTAGCTAACACCTCTGAATTGGTTTTCTTGACTATAAAACAAGGATAATACCACCTACTTTTGAAAGCTAGGAGAGTACTAATTAAACACGTAAAGCACCTAGTGCAATAGAAAGTACCCAGTAAAGAGAGCTTTTTAAAGTCCCTGCCCAGGTTTTTTCCTCATTTGAACATTATAACTATATAATAAGTAAAAAGCCAGCAAGTTAATAATGCAGTGGTTTTTTTGGTACACAAGGCTTGTCTATGGGTCTTGCTCTGAAACAAAGTTCAGGTCCTTTTCATCTCTGCCTGAACAATAAAATTACCCTTGTTATACATCCTCTCCCCAATGCAAGTCCCTCACCTTTTCAAAACACTCTAGAGCAGAGGTCAATCCCCAGGCCACAGACAGGTTCAGCTTTTTCCTCATTTAAATATGATGAACGTACTGTCCATGGCCTGTTAGAAATCAGGCTGCACAGCAGAAGGTGAGCAACAGCCATCAGAGCTCCGCCTCCTGTCAGATCCGCAGCACTAGATTCTCACAGGAACATGAACCCTATTGTGATCTACGATGCACAGTCCTCATGGGAGTTTAATGTCTGATGATCCCCCCATCTGTGAAAAACTGTCTTCCACAAAACTGGTCCCTGATGCCAAGGGACTGGTTTCTTAGAAGACAATTTTTCTACAGATTGTGGAGGCAGGATGGTCTTGGAATGATTCAAGCATATTACATTTGTTGTGTACTCTATTTCTATTATTACATTGTAATATATAATGAAATAATTATACAACTCCCCATACTGCAGACTCAGTGGGAGCCCTGAGCTTGTTTTCCTGCAACTAGACAGTCCCACCTGTGGTGGCCGGAGCCAGCGCTAGCATCATCGCCTCAGCTCCACCTCAGATTATCAGGCATTGGGTTCTCATAAGGAGTGAGCAACCTAGATCCCTCGCATGAACAGTTCAAAAAAGGGTTAGCATTTATGAGAATCTAATGCCTCCACTGATCTGACTGGATGCAGACAGAACTCAGGCAGCAATGCAGAACAGCAGTAAATACAGATGAAACCTCACTGCTTGCCAGTGGCTAACCTCTTGCTGTGTAGTCTAGCTCTTTTTTTTTTTTTTTAATCAGCATTTCACTTGGTCACCCAGGCTGGAGTGCAGTGACATGCTCCTTGCCACTCCAACATCACCTGCTGGGTTCAGGCGATCCTTACACCTCAGCCTTCCAAGTAGCCGGAACCGGCACTATCAAGTAATTTTGTCACTTATTATAGAGACAAGGTCTCACCAAAGTGCCCAGGCTGATCTCTAACCCCGAGTTCAGGCAATCCTCTAGCCTCAACCTCCCAAAGTGCTGGGATTATAGGCTTGAGCAACCACATCCGGCTGGAGCCTGGTTCTTAACCAGTCTGTGGCCTGAGGGTTGGGGACTCCTGCTTTAGACCAACCTCCTCAACACTGTTTCTTGTGTTATGTTATGCTTTAAACTTTCCATGTCCCCCACTGTTAACAGACTTTATACTTCTGAGCCTGGTATTCAAAGTTCTCCACAATCTAAATCCAATCAAAGGTTCCCACCTCCCTGTTCTATCCAACACTTTAACCCAATAGCTCTGCAAACCTCCAAGCCCTGGGTTCTGCTCTTTCCTCTCCACCAAAATATCAGACCCATAGTCTGGCAATGTGCAACACATTTTCTAAATCAGCACAGTGTCTGACCAGGTAATAGCACTTAAATTTAACAAAGTTCAACATTTAGAATGTACACAAAGATTTCTGTTTCAAGGACTTTCATTTACAACAAGAACTGGCAATACTTAAATGCCCAATAGGGAGCTGGTTTAAAAAAGTAGAGCACATGTCTAAAACAAAATAGCGGGCAACTCCTTAAAATTAAAAGAAATAACTATGGAAAGATTTTCACAAAATTTAAACTTTTAAAAAAGTTATAGAACAACGGGGTCGCATAGCACCTCATACTTCGAAACAAGTATGGAAGGTCGACACCAAGATACTGACAGTGGTTTTCTCCAGGTGAGAGCAGGCTATTTTAATTTGCTTCCATTTGCTTCTTTTTTGTTTCTAAAACTAATATATTCTGCTCTCTGTAAACAGGTGTGAATAAAGAGAAACAAACCTATGCCTATCAGTCCAGGTCCAGCCCAATTTTAAACTATTTCTTCCCGCTAAACTTTCTCTCTTCCCCCTCCTCATTTCCCAAGGCGCCAAGATGCCTTTCTTAGGCATTTACTAACTCCTAACCGGCTAACGCCAGCTGAAAACATCCCATCTCCTTTACGGCGGGGAGAAGCTCCTAAGAGAAAGGCTCTTATGCCGCACGTGGCTGTTCCGGCCATTGTGCCAAGACAAGGCAGACAGTACGTGCTTTGTATCAACAGCCCAATATGCGAGGTGACGTCATCCCGTTCGCCGCGGACCCATCACGTGGTCGCCGGGGCACGTGACCCGCGCCTTTGTCGTAGATAGAATGACGCATATTAGTTTAAGATCTCGCATTTCACAACCCGAGGGCAGTGAAGTCGGCTGCCTGAGCCCAGGCCTCTCCTGAGCGGCACTGCCACTCTCAGACATTACCTGTCTCCAAGGATGGCTTCACGCAGCCGCACGGGGTCGCTGTAGACCCACATCCCGACTCCTCCAAGCCGCGCATGGTTACTAGTCCCTGAGGCGCCCAACCGACGCGTCAAGCCTTCCGCTTCCGCTCTCCGTGCCTGACGCCTGCGCAGTAGCCGCGCCGGTGGGCCCTAGAGAGTGCGCGCGCAGAGGGTGGCGACGCTGGACGCCGGGAGGTCTTCTCTGGGGCTGCGAGTCCCTACCCCAGCTCTGTTCCCCTTGTGCATCTTGATCTCGGTTTCTTGCTCGGAGCCGCTGCCGTTCCCCGCCCTCTCGGGGAAGCCCACGGCTCCGAGTTCCGCCCTTTCCGAGGGCGGCACACATGGATGAAGAATGACGCGCCAAGATGTCACTCCCGAAACGTTATTAATAAGCAGCCCACAAGTCCAGCCAGTGATCCTAGCTTTTAAAGAAGAAGGATGTTAATATGTAATTACAACAGAGTGGAAGGACTGGGCGTTAAGAAATGTTAGGAATTCTCCTTGGGTGATGGGAGTACAGAGATGATTATACTCTGGATGCTCCCGTTTTTCCAAAATAAAAATGTTGATTTGTCAGAAAAGAACCCCAAGTCCTCCCTATCTCAGGTGTAATGGATGTCAAGGGAGCGCCACACCGTGATAGGGGTTAAGCAATGGGGACTGTTCCTTGTGCTCTGTGCCTCCCCGAAACCGAAGTGAGAGTGAGATTATGGGAGTGAACATGCCATGTGCATGGGGGGAATTTCTTGTGGTTTCCGGGCAGCTCTGGAAAAGTGGAGGGCCCCCAAGAGTCATGTTTGCGCACCATGCGCTGGTCCGTTGTCCCTGCACAATGAAAGCCTGTCTTTTACCCACTTTCTTGTAATGCCATCTCTCACCTGTATCAAGTTTCTCTGTATACATGATTATGTTTCTGGGTTTTTTATGCTGTTGGTTCGGGGGAGGAAAGAAGTATATTACCTGCAATATAAAACATTCAGAAGCATACAAGTCCACAGATGAAAAAGCCTAACAAACATGAAAACTTGTTTCTGTTTGCCATCCATCGCTAGTAGAAAATAACCAGCAATAGGAGCCAAAGGTTTAAAGAGAAGACTGTGGTTTTTAAAAAATAAAATTGGCTTTCGGCGATGGTGGCAGGTCTTAGGAGGTCTACCCGGTAGAGGTCCACGCTCTTCACCCCCTCGCCTGCCTCCCACCCCGTCACCCCGTCCTTCCCCCCAATAAAGCGTTGTGGCCCCCCCAAAAATAAAATAAATAAAATAAAATTGATCAAATATATATAATATCTTCTGGCGGGTCTTTTCTACACGACAATTTGGAAAAGGCTGCCTGACATTATTCTGTTTTTTTTGGAAAGAGCATTTCGTCTAGCTGAAGATACAATTTTGAGAACCATTGGGACTGTATTATAAACGTTTTAAAACTAGGTGGGAATAACTGCACTTGCCACTAGATGGTGGTGTTGCTGAAAGTGACAGCCTGGCTTAATTTGTGTACAGACTAGTGTTGCAGGAGGGATATTTGCCCTCCTGGAGGGCATGATACACGTTTGATACTCAGAAAATATGTAATTACCAAGTGTGACAATTACTGAATGCCATGCTGCCTTGGGGACACTAGCATATTTGATTGCTACTTGTTTTAAAGGTAAAATTTCTTTGTATTGGAAGCAGGGACTTAAATATGTAGCACTTTTATTTTCATATTCTGTGAGTTGAAGTTTTTACTATCCTATCTAGAGTTATGTTTGATTATTTTTAACTTGTAAAACTTAACTTCTTCTTTGGAGGTTGGACCTAGGAATCTGCCTTAAACAAAGCAACCTAAATACTTGTGGTGCTTGGTTTGTAGTACTTTGAGAAACACTTCTCAGTAGTGATTCTTAACCTCTCATTTGGATGAAGGACCCCTTTGAGAATCAACTAAAGCTTTGAACTTTCTCACCTATAATTTTGGATGTACTATCATAGGGTTTATGGATTTCTAATAGCGACCATTGTACCTAATATGAGAGGAGTGCAGCACAAAATCAGACTAGATGAACTCTTGCAAAACCTTGATTCTGCCTGTCACCTCAAGGTTCTAAACCAAGGAGAACAATGGACGAATTTTAGATGCATGCTAGTGTTTGAACAAGAATGGTAACAAAGCATAGGTTGTGAGAATATTTAGGAAAAGGTGTAAGAGGGCAAGCAGAAAGGGTCCTAGCAGGTAGAGAGAGATTTTGCTTCTTCTGATATACCGAATTCCTCTCTCCATCTACTGCCCCATCTTTTTCACCTTTGTACCCCTGTACTTTGTACATATACAAATCTCTTAAGGTTCATCTTAAGGTTCTCCCTGAGACTTCACTTTACTCTTTTTTTCCTCTGATCTTGACCTACTTTGGCAGGTGAAATTAAGACAAAAGAACATTCCAAAGAAGGAGCATCATTGCGAATGGCACTGAGAAAGTCAGATGTGATTTTGGGTGAGTACCCAGTCTCTCGGAGGTTATACCCTCATATGTAAGTAAAATGGGAATAATAATCACTGCCCAGCCTATTTCATAGACTTTTGTCAGATCAAATAGTTTATATGAAAATATAAATAAATGCCTAAGTGCTGTCCAGACGTAAGTTACTATTATATAGTTGTGTGGCCCTCAGTGTGTTACTGAATAATAAATATAATGAGGCATGAGTAATTGTACAGTGAGTTGTATCCTAATAGGTAGCAAACAGGTGGGAACAGCTTTGTAACTTCCCACTATACCAGTGGTTCCCAGCCCTAGCTTCACATTAGAATTCTCTGGAGAGCTTTTAAAATAAAAACAGGCTGGGTGTGGTGGCTCACACCAGTAATCCCAACACTTTGGGAGGCCAAGGCAGGGGGATCACTTGAGGCCAGGAGTTCAAGGCTAGCCTGAGCAATATAGTGAAAACCTATCTCTACAAAAAAAATTTTTTTTAATTAGCTGGGCATGGCAGTGTGTGCTTTTAGTCCCACCTACTCGAGAGACTGAGCTGGGAGTTTCACTGGACCAGGAATTTAAGTCTGTAATGAGTTATGATCGTGCCACTGCACTCCAGCCTGGATGACAGAGAGAGATGTTATCTCAAATAAAATAAATTTAAAAACACCCTGAATGCAAAACTGTATCCTGGATTGAATCCTAAAGCAGAAAAAGGACATTCGTGGAAAAACTAATGAAAACCAAATAATGTTTGTAGTTTAGTCAATGGCAATGTAACTATCTTAATTTCTTAGTTTGGCAAATGGACCATGGTTATGAGTAAACTAGGTAAAAGATATACAGGAACTTCTGTACTATCTTTACAATCCATCTATCATTCTAAAATTATTTTTCCAAAAATATTATTTAAAGCATAAAACAAAAAATAAATGTACCAGTGCCTGAACATCACTCTGAACAGGTGAATCAGAATCCCTGGGAGAGGAGTTTGGGCATCTGTAGTTTTTAAATCTTCCCCCAATGAATTCAATGTACCATGAGGGTTGAGAGAACCACTCCTCTATACCATGAGTGCCTGAGGGACTGGGATCCTGTCTTGTTCTTTGAGGTAGCCTAGTACCAAGCACAGTGCCTAATATGGAGATCTTGTGCAATTGTGTCCTTGCTGAATGAACCTTTATTTGCCAAAATCTGTTTTTAGTCTTCTGGAATAACAGAAGGAAAATTGAAAACAAACACAAAATAACAGGGGAGATTTTCAGACATCTTCCCATCTAGAATAGTTTCTATTCCTGCATCCCTTGTTTCATATCATTTCCTGTTAATCTTTACCATTATCATCCTATTTTAAATATTCCTAAAGTGCTGAAATTTCCAATCTATTGCTTAAAAACCTTACATCATTCCTCATTACCTAATAAGTGATAAACTTCTTAGTAAGGTATACAAAATTCTCTACACTCGATATAGCTAATAATATGAGCTTTTTAGCATGTAAGCCTGCTATTTCCATGTGAACCCTACATTAACAATAGTCTACATGCAGTTCTCTTAAGCAGGTCTGGAACTCTCCCTTCCCAGTGTCACATACAGCAATGTGGCTATCCTCGTCTATACAAATCCTCTCCCCATCTTTCAAGACTTCACTCGTGTAATTTTTTCAGGTCACTTCAGCAAAAAGTGAGTCTCCCCTCTATTGTATCTACTATTCAGATAGCACTAGCATTTATTATTTTCCTTTGTAATTTTTTGTTTTGGTGTTTTATTTCCACCATGAGACTAGAATAAACCCCCAGTGGGGAAGGGCTATGTGTTACATAGCTCTTCTAAGCCCCACAGTGCTTAACATGATGTCATCTGCACAGTTAAGTGTGTAAAAATGATTTAATATACATTTTGCATGAATACAATATATAAAAAGTAAAAATGGAAAATCAAAACTCAAATACAAAAGGAAGCTACATTCACCACTCCAAAATACCTTTAAGGAAAGTTGTTAAAATTAACTAAAAGAGTTAATGGAAACCTAAATGAAATTTTGATGCTATTGTTACATTAATAGTTGAATAGCATTTATAAGAAAGCTATGTACTCCCCTAAATTTTAAGTGTTCAGACTTCATCACTTATCTGCTCTGAAGAATTAAATAAATGCTTGTTCCTAGAAGGAAAGATCAATTATTCAGTCCTCCCCCTTTCCTTATTTGTTTCGTCCCAACGCTATCCTCCCAACAAACGTACACATATACACGCACACTCACACACTAGCAGGAAACTGTCTATGTGGTAGTAGCAGGAAAAAAATGTTAGTTTTCTTTTTTGGATATGGTCTATAAATAGTAAAAAGGCTAAGTTAAAATATTAATGAACAGTCTAGAAATGTCTACAATATTTAGAGGAAAATCACACATAAAATATTAAGATTCCATTGGAATACAGATTTATGGTCAAGTATTGTTAAAACAAAACATAACTGTAAACATCATTTTCTGGTTGGATGTCTTCAGGAATGTTCAGAATTGCTGGCATTTCTGGTTCTTCTGCTTTGGGTTTTTCTTTCATTTCTGTAAAAATAAAATACAAAAATAGATTCAATAGAAGATATTGGGACAATTGACAATCCAATTGAAAAAAAACCCTACCTTACAACATGCACAAAACCAAATTTCACATGATTAAAGATTTAAATATTAAAATACCATAAAGCTATAAAAATAATAGTGTTTTTAATAATCCTAGGATTCTAAGCAGGTCACAGAGACTAGAAACCATAAAGAAAGACTGACCGTTTGAATACCTAAAAACTAAAACTCTATTTGACAAAAAGTACTGTAAAAAATTAAATCACAAACAACTGGGAAAAATTATTGACAACAGATATGTAGGTTAGTAAAGCTTTAATAGCTATTATTTAAAGAAACTTTTAATCAATCAAGAGAAGACAGATATCACAAATTTAAAATGAGACAAAGATTCAAACAGGTAATTCTCAAAAAAGAAAAAGAAAAAAAACCTTATTTTATAATGATCATGAAAAGATGCCCAGTAGCATTAATCATCAAAAGGGGATAATTAAGATCATTATGTGAGTTGTTTTTTTTTAACCTAGCAGATAAGCAAAGGTTTTTAAAATGTCATCATGTGCAAGGCTGACAAGGGTGTGGAGAAAGGCATTTGTCTTGTGTAAATTACTACAACATTTCTGGAGGCTAGTCTGACTTAGTATATCCAAACTTTAAATGTGGGTACCCTTTGGCCCAGCAATTACACTTCTAGGAATTTATCCGAAGGCCCAGTGTGGTGACTTTCATCTATAACCTCAGCACTTTGGGAGACCAAGGCGGGAGGATCCTTTGAGGTCAGGAGTTTGAGACCAGCCTGGGCAACATAGAGATCCACACACACACACCCAGTTTCTACAAAAATAAAATGATTCTCAGGGCATGGTGATACACGCCTGTAGTCCCAGCTACTCATGAGGCTGAAGTGGAAGGACTGCTTGAGCCCAGGGATTGGAGGCTGCAGTAAGCTGTAATTGAGCCACTGTACTCCAGCCTAGGCTACTGAGCAAGAGCCTGTCTCTTAACAACAAAAGAAATAATCAGATGAACTTAAACTTCCAGTGCCTCAGTTTCCTTATGTTTAAAATGGGGATATTATTTATCCAATAAGGGTTTTAACATTGAATAAAATAACTCACAAAAAATATTTAATACAGTGTTTGGCACATAGATAAGTGCCAAATTAATGATAAATGCTAGCTAAATAAATGTTATTCCCAATTATGTTCATTGAACATTGTTATGATAGTAAAAGTTGACAGTAACCTATGTTCATTTTTGTATGGATTGGTTGAATCCCTATATATATTGCAAATGCACATAGTATAATACTACGCAGTTGTTACAAAATATGTCATTTGGCTACCATATACATTGTAAATGAAAACAAAAACAAGTTACAGAATAGGATGTATACTATCTCATTTGTTGAAACAAAACTAAACATTGGGGATTGGAAGTAGGAGATGGTGTTACAGTGGACTTTTACTTACAGTCACTTGCATAGTGCTTTAATTTATTATAATGAACATGTATTTCTTCTATAATCAGCAAAAACTAGATATTCCCATTTTTGTTAAAAAAATAAAATAAGCATTAATTAATTGACCATAATTAAGTAATGAAACTTTCAAAATCAGAGCACTGGGTTGATTAGAGCTACTTCTCAGCGGGGGACCCTGTCAGTGCAAGTAGTATTTTATATGTCTGATTTTTACTGTAATTTATTTCTTTAAAGTAGTTCCTCAAAAACCTGTATTACTTGGAAGCCAACTAATGCCATGTTTTTTGTTGCATTCGTCTTTTCGGAGAAAGAGTGTAAACTGCCAAAGGGATTTCTTTAGAAAATGGTTTCCTGGAGATAAGGATGGTCTGATAGACTCATCCCATTTCTTATACTGGCTACAGTATTGTATAAAGAGAATCGAGGTTCTCAGTTATGTCTCTGAGGCAAGTCAAATTAAAGAAAGCTCACATTATTTTCAAAATGCTGCACTTAGGAAAAATCTTTTCAGGAACAAATACTGAAATAGAAAGGGTTTTTGGTAAATCCAATAAATCCTACAATAATGAGTTTCCTAGTAACAGGTTCATATTTTGCACTTTCATATCTCTCTCAGTACCTTGTAGTAAGAATTCACTTGCCTTTAGCTTATCAGAAAAATTAAGTTTCCTAGAAAACCTTCTTTCATCAAGCTTTCTTGTTAGTCTAGACCTAATCGTCCTTTAAAATATTTTGCACATAATTCATTCTATATTGGGCTCATTTCACTAGCTATAGCTTCTTAAAATAGTATTTGTAAGTACCTACCGTACATGCTTGCTTTTTCCATATTTTAAAATTCTTTGGAAACGTGCCAAGATAGACACTGATTGTATGAAGATATTTTTTACTTGAAATTCACAAATGATATTTATAGTACCCATTGAGATGACTGGGGGTAGCCTAGGACTGTCAAAGAAGGCTGTAAAAATCACTATTCTGAGGGCAATATACCTACCTTGGTGCTATAAACAGCCCTTACCTTTAGGAAAAGTATAAACATCCTTAGCATCTTCCTGGTGTGCTTTAGGATTCTGGTCTTGAGGCTCACTTGTTTCTTGGTGTGGTTCTGGAAAGAATCCTTTAGGTATATCCTTATTTTTATTTGTTTTAGTAGAGAGGTCTTCAGGCTCAGGTGTTTCTTGGTTTATTTCAGGTGAATATTCTTCAAGCCCAGGTGTTTCTTGGTATATTTCAGATGAATATTTTTCAAGTCCAGGTGTTTCTTGGCATATTTCAGGTGAATATTTTTCAGGCCCAGGTGTTTCTTGGTATATTTCAGTTGGATACTCTTCAGGCTGAGCTGTTTCTTGGATTGTTTTATGAGAGGCGCCTTTAGACACGGTCATTTCTTTACTATATATTTTATGAGAAAAGTGTTTAGGTTCAATTGTTTCTTGGCATGTTTTTGTAGAAAGGTCTTTAGGCTCAGCTATTTCTTGTTGTGTTTTAGGAAAGCCTTCAGTCTCAGCTGTTCCTTGATCTGGTTCAGCATTGTATTCCTCTGGTTCAGCTCTTTTTTGGTATGTGTCAAGATTATAGCCTTTAAGTACATCTGGTTTGGGGTATACTTCTGAAGAGCATCCTCCCAGGCCAGCTATGTCTTCAGATGTTGAGTAAGGAAGAGCTTTGGGTACAGCTGCTTCTTGGCACATGTTAGGAGAGAGGTCCTCAGGTTCAGCCATATCTCGGTACATTTTGGAAGGATGGTTTTGAGGTACAGCTATTTCTTGGCACACGTTAGGAGAGAGGTCTTCAGGTTCAACCATATCTTGGCACATTTTAGAAGAAGGATCTTGAAGTACAGTTATTTCTTGGCACACGTTAGAAGAGAGATCCTCAGGTTCAACCATATCTCGGCACATTTTGGAAGAGTGGTCTTGAAGTACAGCTATTTCTTGGCACATATTGGAAGAGAAGTCTTCAGATTCTGCCATATGTTGGCATGTTTCAGAAGAATGTTTTTGAACTGCTGTTTCTTGGTACTTAGAATTTTCCTGATGTGTAATGCTTTCTTGATGTATTTCAGAAAAGTGTTCCTCAGGCACAACTTCTTGGGGGAGGCCTTTGGACACACTCCCAGGTGGCTCAGTTCCTTTCACTGTAGGTGCCAGTACTTTCTCCATCATTTCCTTTTCTATCTGTGATCGAGGCTCCATCATCAGTTCTGTATTTTGTTGTCTCTTTCTGCCTCTTTGATTTCCCTTTCCTGTTCTCTGCCACTTGCTTTTTTTCTGTTCTCTGTGGAAAGATTAGAATTAGTGTCAGCAATGGTGACATAAAATTCAAATAAATGCTTGTAATAACAGTGCCAGCTCCCCTGCTGCCTTTTTTGCACAATGACCTTGAACAAGTCGCTTAATCTCTCTGGGCCCCAATCTCCTTGCTTATAAAATGAAGGAGCTGTGCAAAATGTTCTCAGTTCTTAGGAGAGGGAGTGTCTTTCCGGGGTTTTTTTTTTGGCTTTAATGACTTACCAGTAGCCTTTTTGGTGAGGGTAATGTACATGTGTTTGATAGCATATATTTAATTTTTGGTTATGGAAAATGAATAACTCCCATTATAAATTAATAAATTGGCATTCTGGTTTATACACTCTTCTCTTTGGAAAATGAATAACTCCCATTATAAATTAATAAATTGGCATTCTGGTTTATACACTCGTCTCTTTGGGTTTAGTCTGTGTGAGTTAGCCTCACTACCACAACTGATGCAAATTAAGTGTCTGGATCTGCAATCTAGGCACTCTTTATCTGTTCAGACTACAGGTGGATGATGCATACAGCTTGCTTAGCAAATACAGTATCTTGAGTAAAGAATGCTAAGTTGCTGCAGGACACATCAAATGGGGTATACCGTAAGCTAGGTCAAAAGCTGCAAAAACACTTCTCGAAGTTCTGAAGCCTGGTGGAAAGGTGTGAATGGCCATATTATACCTACTCCTAATTAATAAAGATCCAGAAGATGAAAGGATGTGCATGGAAATTGCAGCCAATGACAAATTGTTAGGCACTGCAAATATAACCAAATACAGATGGCTAATACAGATGGGCTGGGGTGCGGGGGGGAGCACTATAAATAAGCATTTCATCATTTTTCTAACCCTCCTGAAATCTTGTTCCATGCTACCAGTTCCATGGAGCCTTCTCTGACAGGACTGAAATATTCTCTGTGCTTAGCACTCCTATGGGATTTGTTGTGGGTAACATGCTAAAGGCAAGAAACGTAGGCCACCTCATACTATAGTTACTTCTGAAGAAACGGCATCTCTTTCAGCAAACATTCTAGACATTCCTTGAAGATAAATCCAGTGTTTTTTATAGTGCTTGTAGTTCCTTGCACATTTTAAAAAATGTGTACCCTTTCTACTTTTGTGTATGTTTAAAAATTTCCATAATAGCCGGGCTCGGTGGCTTAGCCTGTAATCCTGCGCCTTTGGGAGGCTGAGGTGAGTG